GTTCTTTTTATATAATTTACTTTATTTACCTCGATTTAGCTCTGTTGGGCGAGGTACGAAACCGGTTAGCAAGCCCGTTTTTCATTTTTACTTTTTATTAACATGAGTGGTAATAATAAAACTAATTTTTGTCTGTTTATGGCAGTGATATATATATATATATATATATATATATATATATATATATATATATATATATATATATATATATATATATATATATATATATATATTGAAATCCCAACATAATGTAATCATGTGTAAAAGGTATATAAAGGGGAAGATTTATGGCCAGAATTGAGGCTTGAGGAACTTAAAAAGCTTTCACTAAAGCTGAGCTAGAAAAATCTGGTATGATGAACCATGTCTGGGAGTTGAGGAAGTTGAAAATGGCGGCATTTATCAGCATCTCAGTCAGGCGCTTACCTCGCACATATACGGACTTCAGCACAATGGCGTTTGTTATCCTTAACAAAGAGAGTGAAAGGAAACTCCCTCCTCACAACGGGTATAATTTGGAATCACCTGGGTATTTGTTGTGCCTAGACTGGCTGCAATTCATTGTTCCGATTGGTATATTAAAGACCCATCAAAAAAGTAGTGTACTTTTTATTCAATTTTCTTTCACCTGATTTCTTTGACGAAGTCTGTAGAATGGATCTGCCTAAACTTTTTGTTATTTTGTTAACATCAGATATATAGGAGAAGAGGTTTAATTGTTTGAAGAATTAGATTTAATCAGTGTATTATCTCGAAATAATTACAATTATTGGTGAATCGATGTTTCATTACCCTTTAAAATATCGTGTTTCTTACGTTGTCGCAAACTTTAGAAAAATACTTACTGGTAAAAAAAACAGGATTCAGTAAACACAGGTAACTTTTTCATAACAAGGACGTTGTAAAATGTAAGAATTTAAACAAGATTTGAACAGAGAATGGCGTGCGTATAAAGAAATGGTTATTGGTGTGGGAACTAAAACCGACGAACCGAGTTCAAATTCCATCTTGCTCTTTTAAGCTCACTTTCCCACAAATGTTCTTGGAAAAGATATGAACCTATCTCTTCTAACTTGACCTATGGGTTAAAGACCAGGGTAACGTGGCCTCTCTCGGCTTGTGTGATAGACATTTAAGAAGGAAAACTATTCAGACCATGGGGAAAGCAACGGTAAACCATTCCACTATCATTCTTAAGAATACATTCTAAATTCACAGATAATAAAGAAACAGAATCTATGATCGCTTACATTTTGAAGAGAGATTGCTAAAAAAAAAAGCTAGGTATTCGCTCTGGGATATTTGTACATTCTACATAAATATAGAATAATGAATAAACTACCGACACACTGAGAGATATGATCCAAAAAATTTCAATTCAGTTTCAGTGATAAACTTGTTCCCTTTCTTAGTCATTCAACCTTTGGCCGTGTATCATGTATGAAGTTAGGTCAAAAAGTATCAGAACTGGTGCCATTAAAAGAAAACTTTAACACACTTTATTCGGCATTTAATCTCCTTCGAAATAGTTCTGAGGCCACACACTTTATCCAACGTCGTTTCCATAGATGAAACACTTTTTTTGGGTGGTGGTGGGGGTGGATAGCGAGCAGCTTCCTTGTCTCATCCTCGACGCCTTGAAATTTTGTTCCTTTTAAATGGGATTTGATTTTTGAAGAGGAGAAAGTTACAAGGAGCAAGACATGGGTAATATTGTGGATGTCGGAGCTGGGGAATGTCGTCTTTGTCCAAAAACTGCTGCACAAGCGATGGCCATTGATTAAACCTCTGTGACGTGGTGAGACGACCACACTCTACACACTTTCCTTCCAAGCACTGCTATAAACAAAGAAAATACGCTAGAATATTATAACATAGTGCGTATACGAGTTCAAGGTCAATCTACGCCAAGCGGCTTCACTCTGCTTACTTTAGCTCCGTTAGTAAACAAGTCCCGATACTATTTGATCAGACCTGGTATTTAAAGAATTGAGGCATTACTTATTTTATATTTCTGTGTCACTTCAGGCCGTGGACAATCATAGTTCTCCCCAACTTGTGCGACCCTTAGTAATGTTTGTCTTTTTGCTATATATACTAATTCCTGTTCTGACAACCATTTACACAAACTCATAGATTACGCGCTGCTTTCCTCTGTCCCTCTTGCCTTTAATATTGTAGAAAAAATGCCGGTTCAGGTGGGAGCAGTAAGGTACTGGATGATGTCTTGCTTTTGTCATCGACAAATATTTCACCTGATGTGGAAAAGTTATCGAACTATAAGCAGAAATAAATGTCGCATTAAATAATTTGCCATTTTTAACTGTATTTCGTTTGTAGTAAGGAATTTGCATTTTTTCTTGATTGTGTTAGTTATTAAACTATTCCTGCAGTAAAATAAGGGACGTTGTTTAAATAATATAAAATTAATTTTTTCTTTTTCTTGTGGAAAAATTGACGGTTCAGGTCGGAGGAGTAAGATACTTACCGGGTTGTTGTTCTGGTCGACTAAAAGCTGTTACCATTTTTTTTTTTTTTTTTTTGCAATTTTTTATACAGTGTAACCCGGATATAAGAGACCCGGATATAAGAGAAACCCGGATATAAGAGAGATTTTCTCTGGTCCCAAATTAGAGCCTGTGTTAATGTATATAAATTAGACCCAACCCGGATATAAGAGAAACCCGGATATAAGAGACTTCTTCTCCGGTCCCGACAACTTTCTTATATCCGGGTTACACTGTAGTTACAAGGTCTTGTGACTTGTTATCACGTGATCACTGAAGTGGTTATAAAGGAAATGTTTCTTCCTCTTTTTTTTTTTTTAACCCTTTTGTTATATTACGCAAGTTATCTGACGGAGAAGCTACGTCGTGGAAATAGATATTTTTTTCGCAACTTAAGGTAAGCATCTTTGCTCATTTCCCTGGCCTGCACCGTCACGGATTTTTTTTTTCTTGGGTTAAGATTTTCTCGACATTCTTTAAACCTTCATACCTTGACGGAGCTGTCAAAGGTCGAGACAATTTATTATAGTACAATTTTTTTAAATCAAAATTTAATTCCGTATCCACTTTTAACTTCTACAAAAAATATGTCTTACCAAGCGGAAAATCTGAAATCCTATTGAATAATGCGAAAATGGTATCATTATTTGAAAGTACTTACGCTTGTGAACAACTTTTTTCGAAAATGCAATCTACTAAAAGTCGTTTGAGAATAAAATTGGGCGATGACCACCTGGATGATGGTTTGATCTTGCCATCGACAAATATTTCACCTGATGTGAAGAAGTTATCGAACTATAAGCAAAAACAAGTGTCTTATTAAATAATTTGCCATTTCTAACTGAATTTCGTTTGTAGTAAGGAATTTGCATTTTTTCTTGATTGTGTTAGTCGTTATACTATTCCTGCAGAAAAATAAGGAACCTTCTTTAAATAATATAATATTAATTTCGTTGTTTTATCTTGTGGAAAAATTGACGCTCCAGGTCGGAGGAGTAAGATACTTATCTGGGTTGTTGTTCTGGTCGACTAAAAGCTGTTACCTTTTTTTTTTTTTTTTACCAATTTTTTGTAGTTACGAGGTCTCGTGACTTGTTATCACGTGATCACTGAAGTGGTTATAAAGGAAATGTTTCTTCCTCTTTATTTTTACCCTTTTGTTATATTACGCAAGTTATTTGACGGAGAAGCTACGTTATGGAAATAGATATTTTTTTTTTTTTTTTTGCAACTTAAGGTAAGTGCCTTTACTCATTTCCCCGACCTGCACCGTCACGGACTTTTTTTTTTGTCTTGGGTCGAGATTTTCTCGACAATATGTCCTGTGAGTGTCATATTTTCCAAGCCTTCTTTTCTTCATTATATGCCCTAGAACTTTCAACTGTTTCTTTCTGTATAAGTGTCTTTTTTGTTTCCATTTTCTATAAAATTTACGCCATTGAAGAAAAATCGAAACAAAAAAGCAATACTACATCCATTAGACATGGCACGTGGAACTAGAACAGTCTACCCCAGTGAGCGAAATAAAAGGTTCAGTTCGACATTCCAACCACCTGAAGAAGGCCGGAGTGTACAACGGCCGAAACGCTGTGATAAATATAACAACAAAGATGAGGACGATAGTCCGAACAATGTAAATAGTGTACATAATACATCATCTCAGAAATATAGACAGATACTGAAAATTTAGTTTATATTTAATTTGAATAAAGTATTTATTCAATGTTTCATCTGTTTTTACATAACTAAAATATCCTCCTTTCTCAGATTTCTCAGTACTAGGTCCAATAACCCGCCTACTTGATTCTTAGGGGCATACAATCAAGGAGTTGGTCCCTGGGGATCACCAAACCTCTGCATGCCACTGACTATGGAATTCTTTTCGGTGACTGAACGCCAGAACGTTGTTTTGTTATAGTGCAGAGATGGCAATCCACTGACCCCACGGGTCATGAACTGACCCACCATCAACTTTTGAGTTAGCTAACCATTACACCGCCTCGAGGTGCCCCAAAAATGCATACTGATATAAGCCTTTGCACATTGCAATGAAAAGCGATTTTTTAAATTGTACACTCCTAATGCCATCTAATAGCAAAAATAAAACGATCCTTTTGACAAACACATTCATGTATATACCAAATTTTAGTTAAGCTATAAGTATTAACTAGTAAAGTAAAAGGAATTTTAGTTTAGTTTTAAAACTAAAAACGACATTTGAATGGTTTTATATTACATCTTTGATATTTACAATAGTCGGAATAATGTAAAGAGTGTACAATACTGCATCATTTAAATAAAGAAAAAGTCTTAACTAATTTCTTAAATCTAGAAATATTATATGTTCATAAAAAGATAAAAATTTCGAAAGCTATCTGTGTTCAAAATCTGCGAAGGTTTTAAAATAATTTGAATAGACAAAAAGCCAATTGACAAAGTATAGTCACACCACTGCGACCACCAATCCCAATCTTGAAACATTCTCTAGATTTGATGAAACTCTATCGTTTTGGCAAGCTGAAGAACATCATTGTCGTCTCATTTGATGACACTGAAGTCGGTGGCCTAAAACTTAGGCATTAGAACTTGTTGCATTATAGAAAGAAACCCGAGTTAAATTAACCAAATATCTTCTTTTTTTTTATCTAACATGGCGGCATCTGAAAAGATCGGAATCGCAGCTGCTTAAGTGGGAATGTGACAGACGGAAATATTAAAATATGGGAACTGCAAAGACAAAAAAAAAGTAGATGAGGTAAAAGCGTTTGGGTAAAAAAGTAAAAAAAAAAAAACTTGGGAATTATAGATGGAAGCACAATAGAAAGTAAATTTACTTTAAATTTATATTACGATTGATTTCCCAACCCCCATTTTATTTGGCTTTGAACTACAGAATTAAATATAGCTTCAAAAAAGTTCCAGATGTTTTAAATGAGTTAATGTATTTCATAAATATTCAGTAGGCGTCACGAATGTAATAATACCATTGGATTTAATACATTACTATAACAAATTGCCCCTCTCTCTCCTTCATAGTATACGACTCTTAATATCTCTTGCCCTCTCTTTTCTGTTTCTGTGTGGTTCTCTGATTGTCTGTCTCTCTGTATCTGTCTGTCTCTCTCTCTCTCTAACTGTCTCTCTCGCTTTCTATCTTTCTCTTTGTAACTGTGTCTTTCTCTGGTTCTGAAGCCTTCTCGATATCTCACGATATCATTCTTTCCCGTGTAATTATTTCTCTCTTTTTTCCTATTTCTCTCTTTTTTTCTCAAGTGTCGCTGTTTTCTATCATTTGTGTCTCTCTTCTCTTTTTCTCTCGCTTGTCTCTCTTTATTCTCTTTTTCCCCTCACTTGTGTCTGTCTTCTCTTTTTCTCTCACTTGTCTTCATCTCTTCTCTTTTTACTCTCACTTTTCTCTCTCTATTCTCTTTTTCCTCTCACTTGTGTCTCTATTCTCTTTTTCCCCCTAACTTGTGTCTCTATTCTCTTTTTCCCCCTCACTTGTGTCTCTCTTCTCTTTTTCTCTCACTTGTCTTTATCTTTTTCTTTTACTCTCACTTGTCTCTCTCGATTCTCTTTTTCCTCTCACTTGTGTCTCTATTCTCTTTTTCCCCCTCACTTGTGTCTCTCTTCTCTTTTTCTCTCACTTGTCTTTATCTCTTCTCTTTTTACTCTCACTTGTCTCTCTCTATTCTCTTTTTCCTCTCACTTGTGTCTCTATTCTCTTTTTCCCCCTCACTTGTGTCTCTATTCTCTTTTTCCCCCTCACTTGTGTCTCTATTCTCTTTTTCCCCCTCACTTGTGTCTCTATTCTCTTTTTCCCCGTCACTTGTGTCTCTCTTCTCTTTTTCTCTCACTTGTCTTTATCTCTTCTCTTTTTCTCTCACTTGTCTCTCTCTATTCTCTTTTCCTCTCACTTGTGTCTCTATTCTCTTTTCCCCCTCACTTGTGTCTCTATTCTCTTTCCCCCCCTCACTTGTGTCTCTATTCTCTTTTCCCCCTCACTTGTGTCTCTATTCTCTTTTTCCCCCTCACTTGTGTCTCTCTTCTTTTTCCCCTCTCCTTGTGTCTCTATTCTCTTTTTACTCTCACTTGTCTCTCTCTTCTCTTTTTCCTCTCACTTGTGTCTCTATTCTCTTTTCCCCCTCACTTGTGTCTCTATTCTCTTTTTCCCCCTCACTTGTGTCTCTCTTCTCTTTTTCTCTCACTTGTCTTTATCTTTTCTCTTTTTACTCTCACTTGTCTCTCTCTATTCTCTTTTTCCTCTCACTTGTGTCTCTATTCTCTTTTTCCCCCTCACTTGTGTCTCTATTCTCTTTTTCCCCCTCACTTGTGTCTCTATTCTCTTTTTCCCCCTCACTTGTGTCTCTATTCTCTTTTTCCCCCTCACTTGTGTCTCTATTCTCTTTTTCTCTCACTTGTCTTTATCTCTTCTCTTTTTACTCTCACTTGTCTCTCTCTATTCTCTTTTTCCTCTCACTTGTGTCTCTATTCTCTTTTTCCCCCTCACTTGTGTCTCTCTTCTCTTTTTCTCTCACTTGTCTTTCTCTTTTCTCTTTTTCCCCTCACTTGTCTCTCTCTATTCTCTTTTTCCTCTCACTTGTGTCTCTATTCTCTTTTTCTCTCACTTGTCTTTCTCTCTTCTCTTTTTCCCCCTCACTTGTGTCTCTATTCTCTTTTCCCCCCCTCACTTGTGTCTCTATTCTCTTTTCCCCCTCTCACTTGTGTCTCTATTCTCTTTCCCTCTCACTTGTCTCTCTCTTCTCTTTTTTCTCTCTCTTGTGTGTCTCTATTCTTTTCCCCCTCTCACTTGTGTCTCTATTCTCTTTTTCCCCCTCACTTGTGTCTCTATTCTCTTTTCCCCCCTCACTTGTGTCTCTATTTCTCTTTCCCCTCACTTGTGTCTCTATTCTCTTTTTCTCTCACTTGTCTTTATCTCTTCTCTCCTTTTACTCTCACTTGTCTCTCTATTCTCTTTTTCCTCTCACTTGTGTCTCTATTCTCTTTTTCCCCCTCACTTGTGTCTCTATTCTCTTTTTCCCCTCACTTGCGTCTGTCTTCTCTTTTTCTCTCACTTGTCTTTATCTCTTCTCTTTTTACTCTCACTTGTCTCTCTCTATTCTCTTTTTCCTCTCACTTGTGTCTCTATTCTCTTTTCCCCCCTCACTTGTGTCTCTATTCTCTTTTTCCCCCTCACTTGTGTCTCTCTTCTCTTTTTCTCTCCCTTGTCTTTATCTCTTCTCTTTTTACTCTCACTTGTCTCTCTCTATTCTCTTTTTCCTCTCACTTGTGTCTCTATTCTCTTTTTCCCCCTCACTTGTGTCTCTATTCTCTTTTCCCCTCACTTGTGTCTGTCTTCTCTTTTTCTCCCTTGTCTTTATCTCTTCTCTTTTCCCCTCTCACTTCTCTCTATTCTCTTTTTCCCCTCACTTGTGTCTCTATTCTCTTTCCCCCCCCTCACTTGTGTCTCTATTCTCTTCCCCCCCTCACTTGTGTCTCTCTTCTCTTTTTCTCTCACTTGTCTTTCTCTCTTCTCTTTTACTCTCACTTTTCTTTCTCTATTCTCTTTTACTCCTCTCACTTGTCTCTCTCTATTTTCTTTTCCCCTCACTTGTGTCTCTATTCTCTTTTTCCCCCTCACTTGTGTCTCTATTCTCTTTTTCCCCCTCACTTGTGTCTCTATTCTCTTTTTCCCCCTCACTTGTGTCTCTATTCTCTTTTTTCTCTCACTTTGTCTTTATCTCTCTCTTTTCCCCCCTCACTTGTGTCTCTATTCTCTTTTTCCCCTCACTTGTGTCTCTATTCTCTTTTTCCCCCTCACTTGTGTCTCTATTCTCTTTTCCCCCCTCACTTGTGTCTCTATTCTCTTTTTCCCCTCACTTGTGTCTGTCTTCTCTTTTTCTCTCACTTGTCTTTATCTCTTCTCTTTTTACTCTCACTTGTCTCTCTCTATTTTCTTTTTCCTCTCACTTGTGTCTCTATTCTCTTTCCCCCCCCTCACTTGTGTCTTTATTCTCTTTTTCCCCCTCACTTGTGTCTCTATTCTCTTTTTCCCCTCACTTGTGTCTCTCTTCTCTTTTTCTCTCACTTGTCTTTATCTCTTCTCTTTTTACTCTCACTTGTCTCTCTCTATTCTCTTTTTCCTCTCACTTGTGTCTCTATTCTCTTTTTCCCCCTCACTTGTGTCTCTATTCTCTTTTTCCCCCTCACTTGTGTCTCTATTCTCTTTTTCCCCTCACTTGCGTCTGTCTTCTCTTTTTCTCTCACTTGTCTTTATCTCTTCTCTTTTTACTCTCACTTGTCTCTCTCTATTCTCTTTTTCCTCTCACTTGTGTCTCTATTCTCTTTTTCCCCCTCACTTGTGTCTTTATTCTCTTTTTCCCCCTCACTTGTGTCTTTATTCTCTTTTCCCCCTCACTTGTCTCTATTCTCTTTTCCCCCTCACTTGTGTCTCTATTCTCTTTTCTCTCACATGTATCTCTCTTTTACTCTCACTTTTTCTTTATTCTCTTTTCCCCCCCTCTTGTTTTATTCTTTTTCTGTATGTATCTCTTCTTTTTCTCTCTTCCTTCTTTTCTCTTATTTTCTTTTTCTCTTCCTTTTCTCTTCTTTTTCTTCTCTTTCTTCTCGCTCTTTTTTTCTCTTTCTTCTCTTTTTCTCTTCACTTTCATCTCTTCTCTTACTTCTCTTTCTCCCCTCATTTCTTCTTTTATCTCTTCTTTTTCTTCTATTTTGTTTCTTCTTTCTTCTTTTATCTCTACTCTTTCTTCTATTTTTCTCTCCTTTCTTCTGTTCTTTCTCTTTCTTTTTATCTTTTTTCTGTTCTTTCTTCAGTTTTTCTCACTTTTTTTTTTTATCTATCTCCTCTCCATATCACTTGTTGCTCATTTTCAAACACGTTTACTATTTATTGGACACATTAATTTTAATATTTTGCTCCATCTCCCACCCAACCTATTTCACAAAATCTGACCGAATGACCAAATATTAGAATTTATTTTGAAAATCTCACCTTGATCAAACCTAGAACTTCTCAGCACTACCTTTATTTTCTAACAAAAACTAGTTTCAAACATATTTTAGCTTACTAATAACAGTTCTTGTAATTTTAACTTTTCGTTTACAAACCAGAATATATAATTAACAAAGTAAAATTTAAAATTCTGCGTACTGTATCCCTTCACGACGTGGGCGATTATTTTTGTCTACAGCTTATTCGCCTCCGTACTTCTAACGTTTGTCTCCTCCCAGTTCATGTTCTGTCATCCATTTACGCAAACTCGTTACGTAGGCTACTCACCGTTTATATCTGTGCCGCTTGGCTTCAGTATACCTCGTGATTGTTAAATTTCACCATTTCCTCATTATGTGTCCCAGAATTTTCAACTGTCTCTTTCTGTTTCTTTTAGTTTGATTTGTTTTACGGTATATCAACCTCAATGGTTTATCTAATACCGACAAGATTTTTATTGCTGGTAATATTTTTTTTCAAAAATATATTGCTGGCAATATCTTTTTCTAAAAATGTATTCCTGGTAAAATCATTTTTTTTTTTTCAAAAATGTATTCCCGGTAATTTTTTTTCAATAATGTATTGCTGGAATTATTTTTTTTTTTTTTTCAAAAATGTATTAGTGGTAATATTTTTTTCAACAAATGTATTACTGGTAAAAAATTTTCAAAAATCGTATTGCTGGTATTAAAACCTATTTTTATACTTTCATAGTGTTTTGACCACTTTTGGTGGGTTAACTATTTATCTATATCTGGGACCCTGACAGGTACTACCAACTCGGATCAGGGTGGACCTGGAAACACAAGCAATTAATAGGTGGTTCCATGCTCCTCAAACCCTCCTGATCAGAGGCCTTGCTGTCGGATGTAGTTTATCGTCTTACCCAGGAGGCGGATATAGTTTATCGTCATACCCAGGACAGAAGGGGTTTTGTTTGCATTTTCCTGAAAACTTCCTTGTTGCTTAAATGTTTCCTTCATGGCATTCTCATCCTCCTCCTGTAGAATAATATCTCTTTTGCTTCAAATGCCATTCACCTGTGAAGAGATTGTCCAGCATTCACTGCCATATAAGAGGAGTGATATTACATAACAGTTCAGGTTTCTTTTCTTTGTTTCTCACTAAATGTTCCCGTTTCTTGCAAGTATAAAATAATATACAGTATTTTTATCTATCAGTAGACTAAGACTACCAACGAAGGGACGCTGTGCCAACGTGCGTTCATGTGACGTCATTTCTCCCATAGCCCCTGAGAATCCAAGGTGCCACCACTCTCTCATAATAAAACGAATGAAAAATAGAAATGGTCCTTTTCGTTGATACCATTTTATGTAGTAGCGTTCGGACCCAGAGACCCACATGAAGGGTTCGATTTGAAATTCCAAGAAGGTTACCGAGTACAAAACGGACACCTTAGAAAGGTCGGAAGGTACGACAGAAACGTTGTGAAAAGTCAAGCATATAATGATTAACAAGTTTTTTAAGCATCTTTTTTTTATATAAATAATCTCATCTAGTCTGTTTTAATGCGGTCGTAGAGTGCAGTATACTTTTTCTTTTTAAATCAATGAAGCCAGAAAATAATTTGAGACAATTCTCACGAAAAATAAACCGATTGTTTTAAAGAATAATAGAATAAATAAATTAGCTTGTATTTGAATGAGGAATTAAATAGAACATGAAATTTACGGGAGAAAAATTCTAGCGGAATCCTTAAGACGATAGACTGAAATATATTTCGATACATTATAAAATCACAGGTTAATAATGATGTCCTTGGAAGGACACTTTTATTCCCGCGAGACCGATTATAGGCACATATATCTATTCTATCAAATAAAACACAATCTGACTAATCTATGGGACCGATAAATGTCTAATCAACATTACTTACTAATGTTTTGTATTATCATAACGGCCAAATATAGCATTAATACCTAGAGAATGTCATGCTGAAAATATTTACATTGCTTTTTATTAAGTACCTCCACTAATTCGGTATAAATCTGCGATACGTAAGATTTAAAATGAATGTTTAAAAATGAAAAAGCATTCTTGAAGATTTCATTTTAGCTTTAATTGAAAGCTAAATGATTAAATTTACTATTTCCGTCAGTAAAATATTCTAGTGTATTTCAAATAAAAATTATATAGATCAGAATTTTCAAATGAATGTGTTTTCACCGGAAACTAAGGCCAAAAAAGTATTTTCAAATGAATGTGTTTTTACTGGAAACTAAGGCCAAAAAAAGTATTTTCAAATGAATGTGTTTTTACTGGAAACTAAGGCCAAAAAAAGTATTTTCAAATGAATGTGTTTTTACTGGAAACTAAGGCCAAAAAAGTATTTTCAAATGAATGTGTTTTTACTGGAAAATAAGGTCAAAAAAGTATTTTAAATGAATGTGTTTTCACCGGAAAATAAGGCCCAAAAAGTATTTTGTAATTATTACGTTCCCCCAATGACGTAAGCAAAACAAGATTTGGACCAAAATTTTGAACGTGCTAGAAAAGATTACGAAATTTCAAAAAATACTCAAAAATTACTTTGGTCTTTCATCTTAATAATAACAAATATTTTGACCATAAAACTTTGTTTTTATTAAGTTTGTGGCCTTTTTCATTATGCTATACTGTTTTCCCACGAAAAAGTGGAGGTACCTACTTTCTATTTATATTGTCTTCTATTAGTTTCCTTTCGATATATATTTTTTTATTTTTAATGATTTAAAACACAGCATTATTTCTTCCCTGAAGCAATAGTTAATTATAAAGATTTTTAAAAAATACTACATAACTCGTGTAGAAAATATAATTAATGCTACGACAACATCTTTTTGATGGCACGAGAAAACAAGTACTAATATTATCACTTAAAATTTTAGCAGAAACTTTCTTAACAGTTAGGTATATATATTGGTTTGTTTGCGTTCAGTTCGTTTCAATTCCCGTAGTAAATGTCTAGAATCAACTTTTTTTCCGTTACAAAATATCTAAACAAAAAAATATCGCCAATGGCATATCACAATCTTTGAGGGAAAAAAGTGGGTGAGTAGGTACGAGGGCCCATGAATAATTACGTCACCTGATAATGTTAACATCAAATAAAATTAGTTACTCCCATAATTAAGCTTGACAATATGGAATCCACTTAGTTATTCTGGATATCCTGGTTCCTTTTCTTTTTTTTATCCATCTTCAGAAGCAATCAAAAGTTCTGATCATAATGTCTTTAATGAGTTAATTTTTTTTTTATTATTATTATTTACAGTGAAGTTCACCATGTACAATTTCCGGAGACCACTCGAGGTAGAGCGTTACAGAGTAAGAGGTACAGTTTATGTAGATTGGTTAGGAAAATAACGGTTAACCGTGAATAGGTTGAGATTATAGTAATTGGGAAGCATCATCTTGGGTGTCGCTTCCACAGAACAGTGGTTCGCAGGAAGAAGCTGCTCAAGTGGAACTTCTCACAAATGGAATATGGAAGCAATGAGGGTGGCTTGCTACAATGAAGATTAAACTTAGCGGAACCAAGGAATGGAATTTGTCAGAACACTTTCCATGGAAGCAGTGATAAAACAATGAGAGGCTTGCCACATCCCGTCTGTGGGAGAGGGCTTTCAGGGTGGAAAATAATTTGTCACTTATAAGGACGCAGAGAGGCTTTTGAACTCTACCGAGACTTGAAAGTGATGACTGAGCAGCTATTTCCCAAATATGACAGCAGCACTCCATTTTAGCCCTGATCTGGCTCTTGCAAAGATAGAGTATGACACAAGGAGTCAGGTATTTACTGGAGCGGTAGAGGGAATCGACCACTTTTCCTGCATCTTTAGCAATGGATCGTATGTAAGAGTTCTAGAGGACTAGAGTGAATATAAGGCCAAATAATCACTTAATACACGGGGTCTCTCTGATGGAACATCCATTCATCTTGACTAGTGGTATTTTGTGGTCTGATCGGCGATCATGGAATGTAACTAGTTTGGTTTTCGAGGCATTGAGACAAAAGCTGTTGTCCGTTAGATGGGAAATTCCTTGCTGAAAATATAGTTTATAAAGCGGTTATAATGGTTTCTATTGTGTCTGCTGAGCGAATATTTGAACAAAGATATAGTAACCATAAGATAACTGTTTCTACAGAAATACATAGAATCAGTAAAACCCTATTAAGTTATATGTGGAATGTTAAAGACATATATGCTTAATACCCCTCAGTTAAGTGGCAAATAATTACAATGATAACGAAAAGGTAACCAGTTATAATAACGGCAACACGTTCTATGGGCTCTACATGGAAAAGAAACTGGTAGTAGCGACATATCCTGAGCTCAACAAGTTATTAAATGTCAGATCAGAGGTGTTATTTAAATGCCGGAACTTAGAATTGGATTGATAGAAATTGATCTTCCCGCGTCCAGTTTCAGTCTCTCTGCTCTTCCAATTTCTTAACCCTCCCTAAGATTACAGTTGTAATGCCTGCAGCAAAACTTCGGGTATTTAATTAAAACCGTTGCATACGTCATTTCACACATCCAAATGGTGAAATCATACGAGACCGGAAGTGTCTTTAAATTTTTCCTTAACTCATTCTTAGATCACAGTATTTTTTAAAAAAACATTTATCACTTATATTTTTAATGTTTTACAAGCCGTAATCATTTTATACTTGCTGGTATATATATATATATATATATATATATATATATATATATATATATATATATATATATATATGTAGAAATGTTGAAAAACAAACAAAAAATCCATAAATGTAGTTAAAATGAAAGAATTGTCGACGTCAGACGTTTCGGTTTTAATAAACCATTTTCAAGACAAAATTCATTAAAATACAAATTCAGTTCAATATGACGAAAACG